CAGAAATATACCTATATTTTTCGATATATCTTTCCACATGTTCAGTTGCGTAAATATTTTACTTACTTTTATCGCTATACTGCTGACAAATTTGTAAATTTATGCAAAAGAAATTTTAACAACAGAAAAATTAGTTTATCTTGATCAAATGCACAAATTATATCCCTAACAGTTCACAAAATTTAAAAATAAATAATAATTAATACATAAAGAAAAGCATTATTTTGTTTAACACCTTTACAATTCATAAAAATAAAATAGAAAATTCATAAAAATAGTAACAATTTATGTCTTACTTCTCATGAAAATTATCAAACGAATTACCTAAAACGTTCAATTTATACAGTTTAAATCCTAGCATACATCGTTGTATATTAAGGAATAAAGATGCCAGCTATAAACAGAAACATTAAAATGTACACATTTTGATTATTATTAAGTCCTTTTTTTTCACATCTGGAAAGAAAACAACATGACATTGTGATATTTTTTACCTAATTTATCAAATTACATAAAAAAATAGAAAATCAATACTTACGCGTGAAAAGTAATCCTAGGAATCTTTTTCGAAAATCTGTTTGTGCATCCACATACAACACAAGGTGACATGCTTCAAAAAGAAAAGAAAAAAAATATTGCAATTACAGACTTCCTTGCACATGTCACAGCGATAACAGGAACATGGCCGCCAAGCTTCACCATTTGAGTTGAACCTTCCCTCCTTCTATTCTAACCTCCTTGGTTTTACTAAGAGTTTCAATTGTAAACAAATGTCATCCTCGTTAGGCCTAGCGTCCCTTAAACATGTCACTTGGCTCGTATAAACGTTATACATGGAGAAACCGAAGAAACCATTTAGGCTGCCGATTCACAGGAACACTAGCTGTTCGGTCAGGGTGAACTCCTGGCCGAATCTGATCGAACATCTAGTTTCCAGCAACTTTACCGCTAGGTTGCTGGTGGGCTCGGTGATTTAAGCGAAAATATAAATTTGGCTTATCTAACACGTAATTATAGCAGTTGTGATTGGACTTGTTTCAACTACTACATTCAAATCACACTATTTAAAACCTACTTTCTCAAAAGTCTGTCTCAAGAGTCAACGAAGCTATAATATTACACGACTTTTGCAAAAATTTTGATATATCAGTATTGGAGCTTCGTGCTCAGAATAATGCATACCATGCTGCCCAAGCTGCTGCAATTGCTCAACGAATACTAGAAGAGTACAAATTCAGAATAACAGCTTAAAACAATCAACATTGCACGTACTCTGAATTTTGAGGGATAAATATGGATGATGTGTAGAAGAATTGGTTAATTACAATGATGATGAACTGATTGATAATGATTTGTTTAACTTCACAAAATTAAAAATTTGTAAAAGAAGAAAGCAGTAACCAGAAAAGTCAAAAGGAGAAACAGTCGAAATAATCAATATTATATTGTAAAAGTAAATGCACAATGTGCGTGCCGCTAAAACTCAGAAACGAGTCCTAGTACGATCAAGGAAGTTATACTCGTATGGTGTGGTAGCTTGCTGTAAGTAATCGAAATATGTCAAATGATTTCATTTGCGGTTTGAATTCTGACTTCGTTAACACTTCTTCTGTATATGTTCTTCACTTTTACTATGCTACAATAAATCTCTATGGATTTTAAGTCAAGACCTTTTATATAAAATACATGTAGATAGCTTATACACTTTTGAAAATTCATAATCGGAAAAGTTGTAGTCATATAGATTTCCGGTTTGGTGAACCCTTAATTTAATCTGATTTTTATTAACAAAAACATTTTGCAAAGATAATGCATTCACTTGCTCATTTCTAAAATGATAAATTATTAAGACAGATTTGTTTCTTCTTTAATTCCATCTGTTTTCGCATGGTACAAATAGTCTTATTATATATTTGATCGCTATCCTTACATGAATATTAAGGTTTATATATTATGAATTTTCCCCAATATGTTTAGAATTAAGAGCTCAATCATTAAACAGTGGAAGATTAATGAAATTGGGAGCACATCCTACTGAAAATTCTAGAATTCCTTAAGATACAGAATATATTTATTAACCATTTTATCAATTAAAAAATACAATTTAAAAATTCCATTAATCCATGCCTGTTATTGAATTAGATAACAGACTTAAGAGCTAGCATTACTTATCCAAGGCTATGACTACGTTAATTCTCTTGAATTATCTTTAAACATTTCTAGACTTTTTAATGATATATTAAAGAAAGAAAACTGATGCAATAATTTTAATTATTTAAGACTAAAATCCTGCCATTTATCTCCTGGCAGATACGTATGCAGGCTGATTTGTTTAGTACAAAAACATATAAGACATAAAAGAATAGCATGCAAAGTATAGATGCGCTTCCCAAGAAAAGAGAAAGGTTTTAAATTAAAAACATTCTGACCTAATATCATAAACAATTTTCTCTTACAGTTAATTTACTTTATTCATGTACTCTACTTAGCATACAACATACCACGCAGTGTCATGAAATTTGCACTGAATGCTCATGTTAAAGTTAAGCAAATGATTAAAATATCTTACCAATCACAAGAATTACGTGCGCGCTACGACTTGTACATTAAGCTGTTATTCAAGACATACAACGGCTGTGAGAAGTTATCAGGACTGGTATTCCTCTTTACTTGCTTTGGAAACATGAACTGTCCTGACTCGGAACAGGGAGCTTACTCAAGCTATGTTCAGTAATTTGTGAAGTAGACAATACACACAGGAAGGGTATACGAAACCCTTTATTTTTCTATCTTTACAGAGATTTCCGGACTTCGGAATACAGAGACCAACCACTTGTGGTCTGAACGTAAGAATATAAAAATATTAACTAAAACTCTTACTAAACTAACTTTGGATTAATATACAAGTGCCTACTTTAAGATTGGCCGTTAATTAACAAAAGCCGTATGTAGTACAGAGAGCTGCTAAAACTACGATACGTTTAAAATTATCAAGAGGATTAAACCTCTGGCCTTGAAGGCAACCAGCAAACGAGTAAAACTACTATGGCCAGCGGCCTGCTTCTAATAACTCCTTCCTCTCTCTTGCTTGGCAAAAAGCCACAACTTAAGTACTTGGCGTTAGCAAGACAAATTTGCATAAATAAGTAAAAGCTTTTAATTCTGGCCGGAAGTAGAAAATAAGAAGTGATAGTAAAGATTTAAAATAAATAAACGTTAGTAAAACTTAGGATCCTTACAAAGTATGTGTTTTTATTATGGTGTCTAGAAAAGAAGGCTGCAATGTAATAAAGGCATGCTTTATTTTACAACGGTGCCTTCGAATTTAGCGAAATAATGTCATGAAACGGAAATGGCGAAAACAGTGAAATTCTGTAATCTGATTCAGGTTAATTTACATTTATAGACCTTCCTTACTGGTAGAACGGTTAATAATGCTAGTTGCTTTATCGTTGGGCTCAGGCGCGAATCTTGGAGAAGTCTTTGATGTTTGTATATGTGTATAGTGTAAGGCATGGGAGTACTTAATACTGGCAAGCCTAATATCCTTTTCTTGAGGCATGGTGATAAGGGAAAGAGGAACGGAGATCCTAGGATATGTTCTTCTGTAGGAACAGTGACAGATCTCTAGGATCTATTATTCATTATACTGTTTTTTTACGAAATTGGGACGCAGCTTCTCCCCTGCTAACGAATGTATTTCGGTCACTGCCTGCGTACAGCCCAGCCCATGTTCTGGATGATGAGATAACTAAGTGACCGATTGATGTCTGTTTCCGACAAATTTATAAAGTGCAAGTGTCTGGCCATTTGGAGCAACACAACATTTGTAAGAGTTGGTTTACATAAACCAATCAAGTGGAATTCTAAAGGGGAAAACTCTGCGTGTAATGTAAATATCTAGGTTGTAACAGGTTTTTTTTCTTGAATGAAACAGATTACACAGATAACACATGAAGTGTTAATAGTATTAAGACGCCGAGCTAGCTGCAGTTAAGCCAGGACTTAAAAGAGATTTATCCCTGAGTTAAGCAAGGTCATCTGAAAAGGAAATTTCGCCGTTTTGTGTGACCCGCAAGGATGAACCTATCGTTTTTTATATAACGGTATGTTTTGCGCCTTTCCAAAAACATACTCATACTAAAGTTTTACATTTTGTTTGATGGAAAGAAAAATATATTTTTTAAAATTTTAAACTGTATTGAAATAAAGCAAGATAAGCAAATAAATAAATAAATAAATAAATAAAGCTTTTCATTCACATTATAATAAGTACATGTACTTGACATTTAAAAAAAAGAATGAAAGAAAGACAGCAAACAACTTTATTATTTAGATTTTTGGTTACCCGGATGTGTTGTTAGCAAGGAGGTTAGAACCTCTTTGGTTCTAACCTCCTTGCTAACCTCCTTGGTTGTTAGTAACTGGGTTATATTAGTGATTTTACGCGTTAAAAGTTTAGAACGGTTTACGTACGTTTTTATAACCCATTATCAGCCCTTTCTACGCCACTATCGAAATCTTGTTTCAGCGAATAATTTAAATAAACACACGTTAATGAAGCAATTAAATTAATTTTAAATCATTTTATGGTCTTATAAACTAAAAGCAACAAAAATTGCTGCATCTAATTAATAGCTCACATTTGAAAGCAGAAATTTCAGATATTGTTTTATGGTCAGTTTCCAGCAGTATCTTCAAGGGTGAAAAACTTTTCTTTTCTTACTTATTATACATTACAAACCTAATGTTTTGAAGCTTCAGGAAAAATAATTTTTTTTTTCCTATTATCGGACAATCCCACTGTTCATTTAGTTTCAGAGATGAAGCAAAAACCGTAGTGAAATGAAGGGATGTTTCCAAAAAATCATAAAATGTCTGAAATATAATTCCTCTGTTCCCTGAACTGAATTCAAATCGAAAGTATAAATTCGATGTTTTATTTGAAGAGTTTTATCAGCTTCAGAATTTCATCCTTATCACTTTCTTATCTTCTTAAAAACTGATTGTTGATGACAAAGCTTTCTGCTTCAAACTATTGTACATTTTTTTAAAACTCCTATCCGTCACTATCTCTCCATGCACGGACGAAGGCTGAGAAATCGTCTGATGCCGAATTTTGATCGGAATATTATTCTGGTTCTATCCAAAAATTAGTAAGTGAAACAATATTTTTCTTTTGCTTTTTCATGTATGCTGTCAGTAAATTCAAAGCTTTTTATCAGACACTTTAAACATTAAACCGAGTATAAAGAGAAGTAATATTTATTATCTTCTATTTAGCCCACTTACTGATAGCCAACTAGTAATTGGCAACAAACCGCAATATTTTCCTATTTTCTGCACAGTACACAAATCTACCAGATTTCTGTAATTTGATACAGTTGTGTCAAGAATTACTTTCCTTTTGAAAGCGTGTTCTGAATTTTTTGATATTTATTTTCCTGTATGGTACTTTGCATGGGTTTATGATTTGATATAATTATAATTTATTTAACATAAATAAATTTCTTAAATATTTCTTACTTGAATATTTTAAATTCTACTACGTTATTTATTTCATAGAATCTACCAATATTTAGATTGGATGTTTTGAATAAATCAAATTAACTTAATTTTGTTTTGTCCTCATGTTTTTTCCGTTTCGTAGAAAGCTTCTACGGAAGTTATGAGCTACCTTAATGGTGGAAACAATCACTAATCGTTTCACGAGGGAAATATTGCTTGATCTGAGAACTTAAAATTATAAAAAAAAAATCTGACATTTAATTATACTTACAGAGTATATAATACTCTCCATGAGAAGCATATCAAATAAATGCATTTTAAAAAATTTCTTTTAGGTTTATTAATAAGAAAAGCCCCATTTTTTCAAAAAGCTTTAAGTCCAGCTTTAAAAATTAAAAGGGAAAGGAACGATGCATTAATAAAATTTCTATCATACGAATTTAGTTTTCATGCCAGTTTTGCAAAATAAAATTCAAAATTTGTAATGGAATTTAATTTTCGAAGTATGTGTACTGTAAGATGGCTGTCTTTAAAAATTATTTTTGATGCAAATACGTTTTTACTTGGTGGAGAAAATGGGAAGTTTTGTTACATTGGTATGCAAGTTGCAAGACATATTTATACAGTCCAGCTATGGAAATTGAGGGACTTTTGAAGTCACCACCTGACAGAAACAAAATAAGAAATTAGTCAGCTAAGTTAATATTTATAATTTTGAATGACAGTGTCACAATAATTTTTATACTTTTGCCTATGGAAAAAAGAGGCGGGATTCTGAGACATTGGTCTGAGCTTTTTAGTTAAAAAGATATATTCAGTGAAAGCTATGAACCTGAATACAAACAAATTCTTTCATGGCCAGGTCCAAACATAAGTGAGGCCCACCAGCAGCCGAGCGGTAAAGTCGCTGAACACTGGTAGTTCGGTCCGAGGTTCGAATCCCGCGAACGGGTTGGCTGCATGGGTGTTTTCGTGGTTTTCCCCATGTGTAACGTGTATACGAGCCAGTTTCCGTTAGAAAGTCCTCTACGAAGGCATTCCTCCCCTTAGGCAGATAGCCCTAGTGTGCTTTGCCATAATTAAATATACAACACCAAACATAAGCGACAAATTCATTGATTTTCTGAAAACGCCAATTAAGTTAATCTCTCAAACTACATCTAAATAAAATATACTTTAAATTATTAAAGTGTTTAATTTATATGTAGTGCCAAGTGTATTGATCATCGAAAATACTTCAACCCGACCTGGATGCTTCTGCATTGCATGAGGATAAAAACGAAAGTGTATAGCAGTAGCCGGTCAAATTTGAAAGAAGCAATGAAAAACAGTGTACAAGAATCGTCACAGTACTACATCCAACAAGATGATAAGCATCATAAAGATCTCTTCTGCTGTATAATCTGCATACTATATCACACCGCAGTATTGTCACTATTTATATAGCTGCCAGAGTTAAAAGAAATCTACAGTGATACTTGGATCTTTCCAAATCGATAAGAACTGTACATTATCCGAGAAAGATTTGTAATCGCATCTAATTCAGAGAAATACTTAAGTCTATTTATAGTTTTCAAATATTCTAGTGGCATCATACCACAACTATTTGCTTGACTTAGAAAAGTGAAGTGCTCAGCCATATTGCTCTTCTCTATTACAAGGAAAATATCAGACTTTCCGAAAATAATCGTCACGACAAATTCAGGGGTGCAAGAATGTAAACTTAGCATATTTAGCCATAGATTGGCAAACGTAATACATCTGTGAAGGCTGAAGCACTGTAAGGTCAGCAGTTTTACTTGTCGTATACACTTATGTGACTCCACTGCATAATGAGGTGGTGGAAGAAGGTAGAGTTGCAAACAAAGCTGATATATGCAACAGAAGTAGGTAATGATGGCACTAAACTTAGAAAGAATTTCCTCCTTTATCAGTGCATGCTATCATGTTGTAATTGATAATATGTCTGGCTGGTATCGGAAGATCCGAAGTTTGAATTCCGTTGACAGCATAATTGGTTTCTCGAAAAATTGTAATTAGCTTTGTTGTGGAGCCCAACTAAAATGTGGTGGAGAAAAATTTGTTATCAGTTGAATTTCGTGACTGTTTCTTCTGCAGGCATTCTTTAAGTAGGGAAGAATAAAATTAATTTTCACCTTCTCAGTCGCATGCTATCAGTTTTTAATTTGTAGCACGTCCAGGCTGCATCGGAAGATCCGGATTATGCATGCCGGCTAGGTGTAGTTGAATTTTTACAATAACTGCTCAGAAAAAACTAATAGTTTCTAAATATACACTCATAACTAGATGTATTACATATGTCGCATACAGCAATGCTTATGTTCAGAAGATAAATAGTTTTTTGATGCGTACTGAATTTTAACTTGTGAACTGCTTCTTTGACTCACTTCTTTAAGTGATTCTTCAATTAATTGCGAGTTTCATGCGTCTTCTTGAATTTAATATGCATATGCTGATATAATAGTGCCACTTTGCGTTCCATTCTACCATCTCAAAAGCCAAAACAATTTGTTGCATCCTGTTTTGTGATGCGTATTTAGCCCAACTGCTGCTAAGGACTTTTGTTGATCTGGCCAGGGAAACAACTTCTACACAAAATGTTGAACCATGCCATCTGTGAGTCAATTCTGCGTTACGTTCATGGCTAATATTTGCGCCAAAACATTACAAAAACAAAAGGATTACAAGCCATTTGGATAAGTTTACAACATATGCATTATTCGATAACGTTGCTTGGTAGAGTTCAGATATGTCCGTGCTCTGTATCCGTACTCAGGCAATAGTCAATGCTGTACAGTATTTCCAAAGGATGCTTTCAAGGTTTACCAAAAGCTATTTTTTGAAATGATGCTACACATAGCTAACACCAGCAGTAACGTTTAATGTGTCCGTTCGAGAACATACAGACTCATTTCCAAACTGTACTGATGAATGTATCTCTGCATATGTTTCCATTTCACATATTGAATCAGACAGGAACGAATTTCCGCGATTGTTAGACGACTTTCGCACATTTCATGAATATTAAAATTCTCTACGAATGTCTATAAAAATTATAATAGTTCTCTTATTAAAGTTTGAGACAAATGTATTGAAAATTAAGTACAACAATGATCTAATAGGTGAGACTAGTAAGCAAATTCCAGCTAAAAGAAGCTGGCTCTGTTGCTATTTTCAGGATATTACCCATAAGTAATAGGAAAACAAATTAGTTTGACTTTGAAATGTTCTCCTCAAAGCTGTGTACCTCATTAGGAAGATGATCCTCGCAAGCTTTGCCGTATTAACAGTAAACAAACACTGTAAAATAACCCATTTTCAAGATCCAAACCGGAAATTTGAATACTGAATTATTGCTCAATTTTTACTAGATTTAAGGAACATAAGAAAATGACATTCTCAAGTCGATCTGCGCAATTTGTCAGTACTGAAAAACGGGCTACAATTATCCGTTTTTATAAATTAAAAAGAATACCACTAAATGAAAAAAAAATTTTTGAAAAAACTCAGCTCTCTTAAATAAAAATCTGATGTGTCACATGACTTTCTTGTACGGAATATTAAATAATACGCATTTTTCCTGCATTTCATTTAAACTTACTTCCTCGAATTTCATTAGAGATATATTTCGCATTCAATTTATTCAATTCTCACTTTGCGGCAAGACAAAAATACATAAAAACTCAAAATATCTTCATTAAAAATTGAAATATATAGAAAAGCATAAAACACCAAATACAGTAAAACAATTTTAAAAAATTAAAATTAAAATAACAGTTTCTATGTAAAAACAAGCAGTTTGGCCAGCAGAGAAGAAGGCTTATTTTTCGGTGCACAAAACTAAAAGTTTCCTATAATAAAGATACAATAACACGCTGAACAGGTATTAATTTAGAAGACAAAGCTTTTGCAGCTGCTAGCTTTTGCACCTGAGGATGATGATTCGTTAAAACCATCGAAACTAGTCCTGTGAAAATTTGAAAATATAACGCTGATTTTTGTTGTTTGACTTCTAAATTAATAAAAATTCTAAATTAAATAATTTTAGTCCCACTCGGTAAAAAGGTACTGAAGGTGCAGAAAGATTTTAATTAACTTAAGTTTCAAATATAAACAAATATGGCAAAGTTTCAAATATAAACAAATATGGCAGCTACGGTAAAAAAATTAGGCTTAGTCGCACTTAAATAATTTTTAAATTGTTGATAATTCTACAACTTTTGCATAACTAAAGGCATAAAAACCTTAACTGGAAGACAAGAGTAACGTAATTAAATCATTTTTAAAGCAAAAAATTGCACAATTTACCAACATATAAAAATAAAAAAAATTGAGCTCACTGAGCCGAGTAAAAGAGTGGGTATATATATATTTATATACTTTTGGTGCTGCCGATTACAACCAAAATAGGAGGTGCACAACTGCATGTTATAGCAGTCCTATATACACAATTTCAACGTTTTGAGGCAACTCATTTTTGTTATGCGAGATACATACGTACGTACGTACAGACGCCACGAAACATTCTCTTCAGAATTTATTTTAAGGCAGTTTTATAATTTGCTACCCTAATTATAGATAGTATGTTTATATAAAATCTTAAAACTTAAAACCCATATAAGCACAC